ACCTGCGGCCGAGGGGACACGGGGACAGGCAGCCAGGGCAGCTTCTCCGTGAAATCCGGGAGCTCATAATCCGCCTGGGGGTTATCAAAACCCAAGGGTGATTAAAAGCTACGCTGAACTGAACAGCAGGCAGATGAATCCTGCAGTGAAGAACCAAACCAGCCCCAAATTCCCGGTGTCGTGAATCCAAGTGTGTCTGCTGCTGGGACAAAACACTTTGGAAGAGAGGAACCCCCTGTAAAAGTTGATTTTAGAGTGACGGCTGCCTGCATGGCTCAGTCCGTGCTCTGGCCAGTGCGGACCGGGGGGAGATGCCAGCTGGCATCGCTCTGCTCCGGGGGGGACTGGTGGCTCGGCCGCCCCCGCAGGACCCGGGCTGCCGGAGCAGCATTGCTGGAGCAGCAGTGGGGGGGAGGGCAAAGCCAATGCCTCAGGAGGGTCTGGAGGGCACCAGGGGTGTCACTGGCAATCGCGACCACCCCTCTGCCCGGGCGGGTGTGCTCGGTGTGTGGTGCCCGGCCGGGCACGCCGTGGCTGCCTGCCGCTTCCCTGGCAGGGAAGGTGCAAGGACAGCGCTGGGCCAGGGCTCTCCCTGGCGCCGTGTCTGCCCCTCGCCCTGCCGAGGCAGCCCCTCGTGGCCCTTCCAGTGCAACTGCCCTTCCATCTGCACGGCTGCGTGTGCCCAAACCCGCTTTGCTGGGTGAGCCACTGCTCCCTACCGAAGCCCATCGCTCTGCCCTTGCTCTGCCATCTCTGCGGCTCCCGCTCCCACTCCCAGCCCGCGGCCTCCGCTCCTGCTTCCCTCCCTCTGCCCGGAGAGTCACGCACTGACACCGTTTTCCAAAGAAAGCATTCTTTTCCTGTCTTTGCCAAAAGGTAATTTGAGCAAGGCAGGGGATGCTGAGCGAGTGAGAGAATGAACAAGTTGAAGTTAGGAAGTGTCCCAAGCAAGTAGTGCTTGAAGGACAAACTACTGCAGAGAGAAGCAGCTGTTCAGTGAGAATTGTTGTGTGCAGGACTGGAAAAAAAAATAAAAAAAGCAGATTTCTTTAATTACCAAGCCTAATTCTTAGCTCTCCTGTGAGCACAACACATACCGAGGGCCCCGGTGATCTGCTGGAAGAGATTTATGCGACGTGCACCTAAACCACAGCTCACGTGGCTGGCTTTCCGGTCTCCGGCGTTTTGATCGCGCGGAGGGGCGACCGCCTTTTAGTTCCCTCAGCCGCGCCGCAGCATTTAGCAATGCCATTTTAAATGCTCTTCCACCGGCATGGCTCTCAGGAGGCTCATTCAGCAGAACCACAACGCCAACTTCGTGGGCTTCGGTGCCAGCCCAGCCAGCGCTGCCGGCGGGGAGCCGGCCCTGCCCATGGACAGCAGGAGGATCCAGCACCTGGCCAACACGGTGGGGACGCTGCCCCGCGGGCGCAAGCAGGTACGGCGTCGCTCCGGTGCTCCGGCAGGCTGATGGCTGCTGCTGGTGTTTGCGGGGGTGAGCGGGACCGGCCGGGTGTCCCCGAGTGGCCGCACAGGTTCACTGCGGCTCCCGACATCGGGCGCTGGAAGGATTACCGCCGGACACCTTTAGCCTCGCCGCTTTTGGGGCTGCAATGAAATCTTTGCAGCAGCGGCAGCGTGGGAGGGTCCGGAGGGGAGCGAGCGAAGAGGTGTTCTGCCTGCGGGGACTTGGGCGCGTGGAGCGCTTTCGCAGTCGTGTCCTGCCCCGGCTGCCTGTCTTCTCCATTTGCGGCAGCGCTGCGAGTCAGGAGAGGCTCTCACCCTCCGGGCGTTCCTTTAAACTCGCATTCACTTCAGTATCGCGGCCGGGCGGGACTCTCCTCTGTTCTGCAATGCTGACAGAAAGCACCCACCACGAGTTATTTCCGTCTGGATTTTGGAGTATTTCGCTCGGGCTGCTGGGGCTGGTTGGGCTGTGCCTCTCGTCCGGGCTCTTCCCCAGCACAGACCGCACCGCACATTTCTGCTGTGTGCAGCTGGGTTCCCACAAAACTCTCCCTGCCTCTTGCTGTAAATTGCCAGCGGAGCCATTCCAGCTTTGGTCCTTGTCTAGCGCGAAGAAGCCTAAAGATAAAATGTTTGAGGCGCGTTATAATCTGAAGGTGCTCTCAGAAAACCGGTACATAACATCCGTGCACTTGAGGCTTTGTGTGGTACGGAAACGCACTTAACCCTCTCCTTTGCACGAGCGAGGGGAGGTAAAGGAGAGCCGGAGCCAGACTCATCATGGGGCCGCTGCTGCCGGGTGGCAGCTGGCGCCCATGGCCGTGATGGAGCCGGGGGAGGCTGGCGGCAGCGGCTGTGACGTGGCCGCAGTCGCTAGCGGTGGATTACAGCCCAGGCGTCGGGCCCAAGGACCGACCGCACCGCGTGCTGTGGGGCTGCGGGGGCAATCAGCCATGGGGTCCACCGGCCGCCGGCTCCTTCGCATGGGCTGCGGTCCATCGTTGTACGTGGGGGCTCTGCCTCCTCTCCTCGCTCTCCCCAAGTAACTGCGTGCTTATAAAGTGGGGTGTTTCTACAGGTGGTCACGCTGAGGCATCGCTTTGTGCTGCTGAAGCCCGAGACGTTTGGCTATACTGACTACAAACATTTCAGTGGCACTGTAATTCCTTATTGAGAGGTCATTTTTATGGGAAGAATCAGCATTCAACACTGATCCTGGCTTCTTCCAGAGACCTCTTCAGGCACAGGTCTCCCCGGCCTGAAGCGGGGCTCCTGGGTGCCCGTTGCCATGATGGTGTGTGCCTCGGCTCCGAAATGCTATGCAGCTACCACAAGAAACTGCAGAGATAACTGCCTGCAGTTACCTCAATTTAGATGTTCTTTCTGCCTTTTCTGACAGGCATTAAGTTTATAAATGCCCACAGATTTTTAAGGGAAAGGTACAAAAGAAAAGTGAGTTCTTAGCGTAACAGAGACGTGATTTGGGCACTGTATAGGTAATAGTTACAGCATTGACGGGGATGACGGCAATCCCTGGCCTTCAAAATCTTGGACCCTCACCCATTTCAGCATTTTGAAGGGTCCGCACTGTTGGAGAGGTGCCCCGGTGCTGTGTGCCCGTCAGCCCCTCGTCCTTGCACAAGAGCACACGTGCCTGCGCACCCCGAGGACGGAGCAGCCCAGCCCAGGCGGTGGCATGGGGCGGCCACACGCTGAGCCGCGGCCCCCCCGGCCCCTCATCCCCACACCGTGCTGCAGTAAAGCATGGCGATCCGCAAAGGAGGAATATTCCTTCCATTATTCGAAAACGCAAGTAGTTTTGTTTGTTTTTTGGTTTTTTTTTTAATCATGCAAAATAAGACTAGAGGGTTGTAGACATTGGAAGGACCAGTGGGAGGTCCATCTCCGATGCTCTATCAGATGCAGGGTTATTCTTGAGTGGTCCTTCCTCTTATCTTTCCCATTTCTACTGTCCTCAGAAATTACAGCTCCAGCAGTTTGGGGAAGAGTTCCTTGCTCCAAGCACTTTTGCCATCAGAAATTTTTTCTTGGGATACGTGAATTTTTCCACTTGTTCTTATGCCTGTTCACAGCATCCTCTATCACCCTAAACAGCGCTCTCCTGCCACAGCACTTCCAACTGGCATTGCTACAGGGGTCTCCCAGCCAAGTTTCTTCTGGTTCCAGCCCTCTCTCCCCCTCCAAAGTAGGTGTTGGTGAGCTTCTCAAAGCTAATCGTGAAGGTGTCAAATTATCACCCCTGCGCAAACAAAGCCTTGTGGTTCTTCACTTCATATTGGCTGGTGGTAGCTCAGCTCTCAGTTTTAACCCATCGCACGCAAGACTGAATAGATGGCAGTGGCCAACTTTTTCTAATAAAGTTGGAACAGGTACTACATTACTGTCCCCCAGAGAGGACGCCCAGACATTCTCTGGAGGTGAACAACTGAAACAATATTATGATGTACTGAGTACCCTTTTTTTTAATTTTTTTTTTTATTTTGGAAATATTCAATTTTATATTTAAAAGGTTTGAAAAAATGAAAAAGCTGATGTGTAACCAGTTTTGCAGGGCTTGATTTCCAACATAATAAAAATAAACATGAATTTCATCAACAACCAGCTCCTGCAGGTTAATGCCATCCTTCACTCCAGAACGTGTCGCAGTTGAGACCTCATCTTGCAGCAACACCAGATAAACCTCCTCCACGGGGGTTGATACCAGACCTGTTACTGTGTAAAATTCCTCTCTATCTCACTTGGAAAGGAACTGTAGGAAGACTCTTTGGGCGGGAGGGAGCACCTTCTCCATGGTTTGCAGGGAGCGGTTGGGGCACCTGGACGTCGTTGCTGTTGGCTGGTGACCCTCTGCCTGTGCCCAGCTGAGCCGCCCTCAGCAGCTGAGAGGGGGTTCAGAACGTGATGACGAGCTGGCTCGCATCCTGCACCTCACTGCCTTTCCTCTTGTTCCGAAAGTTCAAGTTGTCATTTGACTGAGGGAGAAGCTGCGTTGGCGAGGCTGGCGGGGGGATGCCACCAACTGTTTTAGTTTTTCTCTAAACACCTGATTTTAGCCATGTACCTCAAAGAACCATTAACCTACTGACCCTTTTCCACTCCAACTTCTGGTTGCAGCTTGCCTTAACCAGATCCAGCTCCTTGGGTGACTCATCCATGCCACAAAGGTATGAACATATTCTTCTATAATCACTGTTAGTTACTTATTCTGCGTGAAACATGTCCTGGGAGTCTTCCTGTTTGTCAGCCCTAGTGGGATAAGGATTCCAGGCAGAGAGTGGTACCCAACACCTGGGACGTGCGGGTGACATGGTGACGTTTAGTTTGTAGAAGGAAAGAGCAGGCACCACTGCTGCAAGGTCTGAGGGAAGGCGCGCTGGCACCCTGCTGGCACAGGGACCGGCAGTGACGGGGACACAAGCGTTTCGGTTCAAAATACAGAGTGCACGAAGCGTGGCACCCCGGCACTCATATGGAATTCTGTGTATTCTTCTTGCAGACACCTCGTTGCTATATTGAAAGAAGATAAAGAGACGTTTGGGTTTGAAATCCAGGTAGGAATAAATGACAAGTTGATTCACTTAAAAATAAAATATGGTGCAGCCTCTTAAGTGTCACATCCTCAAAATTAGGTTAAGACAGCATAGAGCAGCAAAGGAGGTCTGTCAGCTCCTGGTGAAATTCGAAGAGCTTACAGGAATGATACAGAACTAGGATGCGCTTCCAAGGACTTTTTCATAGGGAAGGTCACACATGAGAGTTTCTGGTCTTCTTGCAAGTTGGAGCATTAAATGTAGGAGGAATCTCATCCAAATCCAGATATGAAGCAATGGCAGTGCTTTCTTACCTCCGTAAGTGAATATTTTTTGGGAGACTTGTGTATGAGACTATTTTCATACAAAAAGAGAGAGATGAAAAAACTCGTGTGTCCAAAAAAAACCTTATACTAGCATTTTACTACCTCCTTTAACATGTATAGAGACATAGGTATTTTTGAAGTAGGTCTACAGTATTGGTATGTTTTTTAGTAAATACAGCATGACTTTTTGGGGGCTAAATCATACAGGAAGAAATTCTGATAGATGTAGAAGTCAGTAAATGATCAAATAGGAAAACCAGAATCTTATCAGGAGTATGGCTAATGGGAGATTTTTGTTCTGTAGATTTTTTGTTCGAAAGGTAAGTAGGCCTGCTAAAATCCCAGTTAAAAATAAAAAATAATCCAGGAATAAATGGGTATCGTTTTAGGTGCAGCGGGTTGTGGCAATACCGCAGAGCTGTGCCTGCCGGCGGGACCCGTGAGCCCGTGCCCACCAGACCCTCCCTCGTCGCCCCGCTGTTCCATTACCGCAGTGGTGGGGCATCTTCAAAGTGCTTCCCTGTATCTGTGCACAAAGGGAAAATAGTATTTTCAGTGAAATTAGTGTATTAGGAAAAGCTTAACTTTTTCAAATTTGGTTCTGTGACTAATGAGTGTGTAAGCCTTCAGCTCGTGAACACTGGAGAGCTTTCAGAAGGGAGGATAATTGAGTCAATTATTGGGCTTTTGTATAAATTGTCAGTGCAGATTTTCATTATATGTGACACTCTGATTAAAAATAATTGTTCTTGACACATTTTCTTCCTGAAAGCACATTTAGCATGAGCGCTTCACTAGAAAGTCCAGGCTATAGAAAGGCAGCATCTGTCTGATACTAAGGATAAACCATTATTTAGAAGCTGTAATTTCATTACTACAAGTCAAATTTAGGCAAACCAGAATAAGATGATGTGAAACTCTAGGTCTTCCATCTGCAGGGAGCTCATGAGAACTTCAGTGATGGCCGAATGCCAGAGCTTCTTGCGTGTTACCGCTGCTTCTCCTACTTCCCATTGGCAGACCAGAGCCTGGGGGCGAGACGGACGCTGTGTGGCTCCTGAAGTCCCTAGGTGTTTGCAGAGCAGATGCTCTGGTAGCACGTCTCTGCTTTCGCTGCAGCCACCTAAAAGCTAGGTGTCACCTCCAAAGCCATGGCCCAGCCGTCTCCCACAGTCTGTGAAGAGAAGAAGGTACAGGAGAGGGAAGTCCACCCTCTTGGTTGGAGCACTTCTCTTGGAGCCGCCAGTCACACACTGGAGATGTCCACCTCTCCTGGTGCCTCTGGTGAGGACTTTGAGACACCTCTGTCCAGATGGCTCCAGTTAGGTGTGATGAATCCCATCCTGCTTGTCCAGCTTGTATTGCTCAAGCTGGCCCAATCTTTTGGGTTGGTACGAGAGACCTACCACTCTGGAATAGGTAAAAAAAAATAAAAATAAATAAAAGGTCATGTGTGACCTGCTGTGGCATGTCCTCCAAGACCCTCATGTGTCACTTGGTGCTCTGAGTTTAGCCAGAAGTTTTACTGTTGGTCTACTGCTGGCTGAAATCACTGCCTTGGTATGATTTGGCCAAATAAGCCCTGAACTCACCTGGTCTTCATCGCTATTTGTTCCACACTGACTGAGAAACTTGGGAATCTAACACGACTTCTTGTATCTGGGTTAGATGTGTCTGTCATAGGCTTTCAGGAAGTTCAGCTTCAGTCTTAAATTCTGGTAGGAAGATGTGGCTAAATACTGACATTTGCATGTAACCAAGAAGACGTTTCCTGTCAGTTCAAGATCTGGTCGGGCTGCATCGCCTTCTTTTGCATTTTTCTAAATACGCGTCAGCACTGATAATCACAGGATGGATTTGCACTTAGAATTACTTGATGTGTAAGTCAAGAATAAAAAGCACTTTTTAGGGGGTGTGGGGACATGCGTGGGTAATGAGTTTAAGAGACCAAAAGAGCAAAAGTAGGTCCAAGCCTCCTTGCTTCTCAGTTCTCACTGGGAGCCGACCTACCTGGCAGCCCCATGCCTTCCCACCGCCTTCCCATGAGTAGGGGTCAGTCCCTCGAGTCACACCCTGCCGGGCTGGGAACGTGGAACCGCCTTCCAGAGAGCAACCTGCATCCCTATCTAACAGATATTCTTGGCTGAAGTTGTTGAGTTTTTGATAAAAGAGTGACCAACTTGCTTCAAAACTAGTTTTTGCAAAAGCAACATCCAGGCGGGTGTCTGCAGTTCTCTGTCGTCAGAATGCAATGTCTAATTATCAGGTTATATCATTTTGATGTTCTCACTTGTATGATAACACACCCTGCTCACCACAGCCTTCTCATTTTAAAAATGTGTAAGAAGACTATTAATTTTTAAGTTGTTTTCGCGGCTTTAATATCGGTAACACTGTCACTTTGGTATTCGCAGACTGTTAGATTTGCGCACCAAAATGATAACTCCCTGGAGGTATGCACTTGCGTCTGCAAAATCCAAGAAGAAAGTCCTGCCCATCTTTCTGGCCTTCAGATGGGTAACTATTCATGTTTTGTTCCTGCTGTGGGTGGCCTTATTTTGCTTTTCTCTGGGTTAGTTTTATTGTAGAGCATGCGGAAGGTGTGCGTGCGCTGCAGATGCTCATTTTCGCCTCTCTGTCTCTAACAGGCGACATCCTCGCCAGTATCAACGGCGTGAACACTGATGGGTTTAGTCACAAGCAAATAGTAGACTTGATAAAGTCTTCAGGGAATTATTTAAGGTAGGTGTCCCTCCTCCAAATGGTTTTTAGCTGAACCCTCTCCCCCGCTGGAAGCCAAGAGAGCTTCTCGCAGCCCCGCACTGTCCATGGGGCAGAGATCCCCGGGGGTGCGGTGGTGCTGAGCCGGTGCCAACGTCGCCTGGTCGTTACAGGTTAGAGACTGTCAACGGGGCCATGTTTCTGCGGAAAATGGAGCTCGAGACCAAGCTGCAGTTACTGAAGGTAATGTAATTAATTAGCTAATCTGTTGTTGAACGCAGAGGGCTGTTGTGGAGCTGCTGCTAATGGGGGTAGGGGGGTGTCCTGGCGGGGAGCAGCCCCCCCGGTGCCCCCCGCCGCCAGCACCGCCAGCTGCGGTCCCTGTGATATTTTCTGTATATATTTTTGGTAATAATTCCCCCCCCAATGATTTCTGTAACGCACTAAATCTTTCCGTTTGTCTCTGTCTCAGCTGTGCCCAGCAGGCAGGCGACCCTCCCCTCTAAGGACCGAACAGCGTACTTTAATGCGCGCTATATTTAGCAAAAAGGGAAGGCAGGCTTTCACAAGCAGAGCTCAGGCTCGTTAGGGACGGCACGCTGATGGCACCTCTGACTCGTAGAACTTCTGTTCCCCCCGCTGAGTCCGAGGGAGCTGGTTTTTGGGTGCCGGTGCTGTGGCGTGCCTCTCTGCTCGCCCCGGTGCAGCTGCAGTGCCGCAGGCGCCGCAAGAGCCGGGGCTCTCCAAAGCTGGGTCTCTGTCAGCCAGAGTGAGGGGTTTTTCCTTATGGCAGCTCTGTGCCAAAACCCTCCACGCAGGAGTATGGTGCTTTAAAAAGTGCATTAAAAGTGAATCTGGCTGGAATAAACCTCGTGTCAAACGGGTTGCCAGAGCTCGGCAGCAGGGACAGGGTTTGCCATATGTGCCATTGCCTATAACATAGAAGTCCTGCCAGGGGGGTGATTTCCTGTTTAGTATTTAGCGTGTTTAAAACAACGTTTATTTAATTTGGTTTGCTCTATGTTTATAAAAGTGCGGCACAGGATGCTGCAGTTTGCTGCGTGCCACTGATGCCGTAGGTGACGTACAGGTAGGCGTTGGGAGACCGGTGCGAGTGCTGGAGCTGCGTGTGACCGTGTCCCCGGTGCCTGAGGCCGGCGGGAGCCGGGCTGGTGGTTGGGGATGCCATAACCGCCCCGCTGGCTGGCTAGTACAGGCATGGCGAGAAACGAGCCAGACCCCAGAGCCAGAGAGTTCATTGCCGTGTTAATGGGAACGCTTCAGCCGGAG